TTTGAGTAAGTGGCGAATGCGATCCATGTCACTGCTGGCCGACGGGTCCTTGGGGACTGATGGCACGCTCTTGTCATCGTGGAGGTACCACCGCTCAAACTCGGCCAACGTGAGCTTCCCATCTTGGTTCAAGTCGGCTTGGGCAAAGCAAGACTTGGCTGTGACCTACCATACATTTATATATATATACACGAGCCTAGAAGCGTTGCAGCAGCAGCAGCCATAATATATCACGACCAAATGGATTGCATCATTCATTTGTAGTTTTTATCACAAAAAGAATAGGTTTTCATTCGTTTGTACAGATATATATATATATATAGATGGATAGATGATATATATAGAGACAATTCATATTATATACATACTATAGCATCCACAAAATATTGTTTCAAAATACGACCGTATTTGTCGTACCTTTGCACCCTGGAATTAAATTTGAAGAATTTATTTAAATATTCGAATTGTATACTTGATTCAAAATTGTATTAAATTATAGAATTATATTCGCGTTTTGTATTTCATGGTGCAGATCAACGACAAATACGGTAGTCGTTTGTCGTCGTAGTAGACATTAGATAGGAGTCGGAACATGATCCACCAGTATATATATATATATATATATACCCAATCAAGATCTTGGCCCAAAGACGACAGGTGTAGATCCAATATTATGTACAAATAAGTAAATACATACACACCACCCTAATTCAATAGCATATCTATCTATCCATGTACCTCGGCCAACTCGGACGGTGTCACATGTTTGGGGTACATGTCGGTTTCGCAGAGGATTTTATACACGGATGTCAGGTACGCAGTCATTTCATCCAGCGAGATAACTCCGTCGCAGTTGGCGTCATACAAGTCAAAGACAGCTTGGACTTTGTCAGTGGGGGAGCCGCCGCAGAGGATGCTCAGGCCACTGGCTAGTTCGCGAAAGCTCACAAACCCATTCGCGTCAAACACACGAAAGAGCCGGTCCAGCACCACGTCACACATTTGGTCGTCGACGATATCGGTCGTGATTGTAGTTGCCTATAATTGTACAAAAGAACAAACGTTAGGACCTTCATTGGCACAGCATTCCTCCCCATTGATTGGCAAAACCACATATATATATAATATATATATATATATACTAATCTTTGTATCGTATCGTTTGTACAAGCTTCAATTAGATCAAAAGGATTCGATAACAAATTCGGGTGACATGCACAATATCAATCAATGGTCAAGTCGATTCGAACTCGGCAACAAATCGATCGACCAATCAAAACCCAGCATATTGAACAACCCAGCGCAAAAATAGTGTGTGCCTTCAAATAGTGTGTCATACAACGATCAGGCCAACCAATCAATCGATCGATTCAGTATGCAAATCCCATTTGTTTTGGGGTGAAATGGACAAACCATTCTCGACTAGTACAATCCAACATCAACACGTCCATGCACTTGTATATATAAACATATATATTCCATATACCACATATATATATATATACATTCCAACCCGCAGTATCACATATATTATTCATACACAGGTCAGTTGTCGTAGCGTGGCAAAGCTGGCGTCGAACGCACGCCGATCCAGCCCCCGGGGGTCGGTCACGTAGGTCGTGAGGTGTGCAAACACTTGGGACGGTGAGAACTTGTGCAAGTTGGTGACTTGTTTGACTCGTTGCAAGCTAGGTACTTGGATATTCTGCGACGCCGTCGACTGGTACCAGCGCCGGAATTCGTCCAATGAGAGCACTCCATCCGACTCTTTCTCCGCGTGAATGAACGCCTGGTCTGCCGTGATCGTTCCCAGCTCCTCCGGCGTAATCCCCGCATCTACCAATCATCATTCGACTGCACTCATATTGCTCAAAGTAACATTGTCGCACGTAGAACTCTCTCGTGGGTTTGTTTGGATAGTATATATATAGATATGAATACATTGAAAAGAGCCAACTTGTGATAGAATTAATATATATATAGATGATATACCTTGCATTTGACGGTGGGTTTCAGGGTTGATATGAAACAGCACTTTAAACACGGACGACAGGTATAAAGCCATTTCGGAGCGAGAAATCGTGTGGTTGAGGTCATACAAAGCAAATGCTGCCCGCACCTTATCCTCTTGGGACCCTCCTAACACATTCTATTTAGTATATATATATATATATATATACACCACCGACCTACTAGTTTGTATTCACTAGCCACCATATACATCCTTCACATACAGTAGTAATAATACTCTAGCCAAAACACATGTATTCTAAAACCACGTATTCTGCCAAGCCAAAATATGTATATCCGTACATCATAGTCAAACCAACCCATCTAAATATATATATATAATATATAGATCTATGGGAAACTGTTGATCTATATATATATATATATGAATATAGATCAACTGTTCCCCACTATACATTCAACACACTATATTAATATATCTATGCATATACACCGTACCACAGAGCACACACAGCCCCGCGCCCAGCTCGACGAAATCCACGACGCCGTTGCCGTCGGTATCAAACAAGTCAAACACATGCGAGGCGATCGCATCCACAGCTTCCTTGTGCGCTGGCTTGGCAAAGCTCTGCAGGCCGATGGAGAAGGCGGCGCGGGTGAGCTGGTTGGCCGTCGCAAACTGCCGAAAGCGCTCGATCACGTCAGCTGGAGAACATGTGCCCAGGTCTGTGAAGTGGTGGACTTGGGCGAGCGACGGCAGAGGAATCGACAGCGCTGACGACTTGATGGGTTTATTGGATTGGGTGTACCTAATATTGATAGATAGCACACGATAATGTCGTCGAGAAATATATATATATATATACCACGCATGGAATTCGTCCAACGTGAGCTTGCCGTCTTGGTTGATATCGCACTCCAAAAACGCTTGTTCTGCAGTTACTTGAGCCAATTCGAGTGGCGTGACTTGCATCTGAGGCAGCAGGGCTGGGTTGGTAGCAAACAACACCTTGAACACTGCCGTCAAGTAGCTACAAAAATACACGAATAAACAACCATTATGATAATATTATATATATATATATATTTAGATATATATATATAGAGAGAGAGAGAGGGAGAGAAACATAAATCGTATTATTTCACCAAAGAATTTCGAGGTGTGGACGAAATGAAATACAACGACACCACATCATTAGACAATAACGAAAAATAAAAGCCAGACTATTTTGTACAAATAAACTCATGTATAGATAGGTTTCCG